GTATACGACTCAGCAATAAAAAGGAATGAATTTTTGATAAATGCAATGACATGGGTGGATCTCAAAATAATTAAGTAAAAGGAACCAGATCAAACAAATACAGATTGTATGGTTTTATTTGCATAAAATTCTAGAAAATACTAACAAATCTATGATAATAGGAAGCCAATGAAATGTTTCCTAAATATAGAGGGGGACTGAGAAGAGAGATGGATTAGAAAGGGGCCTTGAAGATACCATTGGCAATGATGGATGTGTTCCATTGTCTTGATTATGGTGATGGTTTCACGGGTGGATACATATGTCGAAACATCAAATTTTAACACTTAAAAATATGCACAGTTTATTGTATGCCAATTAAACTGTTGAATTCTCAAGGATGGCAGTGTATGCCCTTATTATATAAACTCTATTCAGCAATGTTATTTTGAGGTTTTGGGCTTAGTGTTCCAAGTAATCCAGTAGGTTGTTCACCTGGAAGTTAAACATTATCTAGCCATTGTACCTGCCTAGTTTTCAAACTCATCACTATTGAATGAGAAAACCAAATCCAGGGCATTTTGACTCAGTACTCAACGAATAGAATGGACATATTACATAAGAACATGTAAAATAGCTACTAAACGGGTAATCTTTCATCTTAACATTTCTACATCCTAAAATAAACATTAGACAGGTGTGTCTTTGGATGTTTAGGTTAGTGTTTTGTTTTTGGATTCTCAAATACAGACTCAAATCCTAAACATTTTTTAACTTACCTCCCAAATTGATAACAACTGGCTCTTAATGTCTGGTGGGCTATACACACTCAGTCTGCCATTTTATTTCATGGAAGTCCTGCTTGGACATTATATTTTGAAATCTGTATTACAAAGTCTTTTATCCTTTTATTAGTTTAGTACTTTAAGCCTTAGACATAAGAAAGAAGACTATCAGTGAAAATCAATTGAAATGCAGTTAGATAAAGATCTGTTGTACTAGGCAGAAAGCTTAGTTGCAGCACAATATAATCAATTAGGGCCCTCCAGCTGCATACAGAGTTTTACCCGGCCAATCACTTTTCACACGTTTCCTCCATTAGCTTGACTAGAGTTCTTTTTTTTTTTTTTTAATGTGAATTATGATGAATGAGATTGTTGTTGTGAATATAGAGATGGGTCATTACCCTACAGAAACCAGACTGTGCTGGCGATTAGGGCTTTCTGCTCCAGCTATCAATAAAGTATAAATTTATCTGTCTCAAACTATAATTGGGAAGCTGTAGTCATTGTTATCTAATTCATTTAACAATGTTATAATCGTAAATTGTTTTTGTTCATCTGGGTAATTTACATAACTTTTAAGTTAGTTGTGAGGGTGAAGGAATAGAATTGGTCAAATAGCGGTGGGAAGTTTTTATGACTTGAAATTAAATAAATATGGCTCAGGGATTAGTACCCCCAAATTTAACAACCTGGGGATAGCCCTTCAAGATGTCAAAAATTAGAAATAATGACTGAAACTTATGTACCCTATGTGAAGGTGCTGGAGGTTTGCAAATCATGAGCATTAGCTCATTTTAGAAGCCCTGTAGTTGTTAAATTCTAAAAATTATGTGGCTGTTTTCCCTGGGCTTGGGTTGGGGAATTCAAGCTGGAGAACGGAGTCATTGGGTTTGGTTTAATGTACTAAGTGACTGAGATGCATTACTGGTAAAATGGGCCAACGAGCCTAACATTGGCATGTTTTTTGTTTTGTTTTTGTTTATCCTCAAAGGGATTTTTTTTCTGTTATAGACTGAGTGGAAGGGAGGGAGGGGGAGAGAGAGACAGAAAAACATGAATGTGAGAGACTGGTTGCCTCCTGCACGTGCCCCAATTGGGCCTGGGAGTGAACCTGCAACCCAAGTACGTTCCTTTGACCAGCAATTGAACTTAAGACCTTTCAGTGCGCAGGCCTATGCTCTAACCACGAAGCAATACTGGCAAGGGCTAACATTAGCCTGTTTGGGGGGCGGGGGAGATCAATCCTTAGAACACCTCCATGGGGATATATTAGTAGAAAAGGTTCTCCTATAAACTATCAAATTTGGTCTTTTTGTTATTGTTCTTAAAATAGCTTTGGTTTTGGTTTGGTTTTTGTTGTTGTTTAAACTTTATTCTAGCCTCCTGTTGTCACAGACAAAGGCTTTTTTTCTTCTTCTACCTATAATATAGTGCCAACAACACATGGCCCTCGCAGATGTCAGTACATGGATAGAAAAATTTCAGTGTCTGCAAGCGTGAATAGTTTTATCGTTACATAGAAAAGGGGGAACTTTTGCCCGCTTGAGGTCGATACCCAAGAAATCTCCGTGGAGGTACTGTTCTTGGGAGTGTATGGTCAAAGCTGGCCAGCCTTGGAGGCCCATGGATGAAAAGGCCTTTGCGTGCTGGCCATGAGGGCAGGGGAGGAGGCCTCAGCACCAGAAGAGTTAAAAAACATGAAGGGCTCTGCTCATCGTGGAGCTTTAGGGAGCTTTCATCTGTAAGCCTGATTACCACCTAACCCTCTCTCTCTTGCCTCCCCCTCCCAGCACGGCGGGGGCTTTATGGCAGTATTAGTGGCATTTTGCCCAACATTGGCTTTAGGGAAAAGTCATTCTACAAGAAAGAAAAGCAGAAAGAACGGGTTTGTCTACTGTGTGAGATCATTGACACGGGGATGCCCTTATGAGCTACAGAGGGCAGGAGGGAATGTCTGTCCCTATGGAAGTTTTCAGCTGAAACACCACTGTCCTTTTCTTATATTTCAACTTGTTTCAAGCCTAGTGGCATCCGTCATCTAAAACTCGCTTTAGATACTTTGACCAGGATATTCAGTTCTAGATCATGGAGGGCCCTTTGTATTTGCTATGAAGTTTATACTTGCACAGAGTTGCTATGAAGTTAATTCTCAGTATTGAGAATATTCTAGGGTCTGAGACTGGGTTCAGTGCTCTCTGCTTTGCCAATCATCACAAGTCCTTCGTGCAGGTGACTTGTTGTGAAGAATCGATTAAAAGCTCAGAGAAGCCCTGGTAAATTTTTATATCAATCCCAAGAGCTTTGTAATATCCTCTTTTCTTTTTCTAATTAGTAGCCTGAGAAGATATATTATTATTTTATTTTTTAAAAATTTTGAAAGATAAACCAAGAAAATGATTATGGCCACAAAGAAGAGATTAAACTATTCATGCAACAAGCAATAATAAATAAATACTGAGCCAATATACTGTTAAATTAGGAGCCATTGGGTAGAATTGATGTGGCTTAAAATTTGACCCTGTGTTGTCATAGGATGTGAGAGAGAGAGAGCGAAAGTTGTTACTTGTTCAGGTCACCTGAAGAACAGGGAGACTGTTATAGCAAGTGATGGGCCTTGGTAGTTAGTGCTGGCTGGTACTTCATCTATCAGAGAGCATTTGTTCCATGCCGTGTGTCTGTGCAGTGGGACAAAAAGCATCAGTCTAACCTCACAGGTGGCTTTGCCTGCAGTAGGCTTTGTTATTTAGGCACAGAATGAAATGGTGGATAAATAAGATGACTACTTAGAGCCCAAGGAGAGAATATAAGCTCCATGAAGCTGGGCCGTATCTTCTGTCATTGAATTCCCAGCAGTTGGAACAGTCCCTGGCAAAAAAACAACAACACTTGGCAATTTGATATAGAATTTTAAGTAATTAATTACATGACTTGGGAGGAACAAGAGATGATTAGATCCTGGCCTGAGCTCATGCTTATATGGTGAGGTCTGAAACACTTTAGTGGTCAAATGGGGGGTTCAAAGAACATCAGAACAAAAGCATGGAGTTGCTATGAGATGATTCTGATAGCAACTCAGAGAAGTGAGATGCTCCACATTGCTATAGGTGATGATATCTTTTAACCTTTACTCAGCCATTCATTGACCAGCACACCCAGAAACAATCTTTGTATACTAACACAGCCAAAAGCTTAAATATTCCAATTATTTCCTTATAATGGCCTGGAGTAATTTCTTTTCTCTTTGGAAAAAAAAAAAATCACCAAATTGGTATTTCTTTCTGAGTTGCCAGATGATGATAAAGCTGGGAGCTACAGTATGAATTTGGTGAAGACAATCTTATTGTTGCCAGTCTGAGATACGAGTTACTTAAGTCATGTTATTTTCTCAGTGAAGGGGGAACCATTGTGGTATAGACTACCCACCCATAGAGTTAAGAGATGCCTGGAAAGATGAATGAAACATAAACTTTGAAAAAAGTTTTGGGGTAGTTGAGAAAGAGAAAGGAAATAAAAGGGTATGAAGAGTGAGGTATGATTTAGAACAGTGGTTCTCAACCTTGGCTGCACATTAGAATCACCTGGGAATTTTTTTTTAAATCCTGATTTCTGGGCCTCATCCTCCAGAAATTCTGTTTCTTTGTTATGGGGTGGGGCCACAACAATAGTAACAAAGAAACAGAATTTCCGGAGGATGAGGCCCAGAAATCAGGATTTTTAAAAGTTTCCCAGGTGATTCTAATGTGCAGCCAAGGTTGAGAACCACTGGTTAAGAGGGAAAGGAGTGTTGCTCAAGTAATTAGCTTCCCATATAATCTTTCAGAATGAAAATCTGCTTCCACCCCAACCTAGGCAGTCATTCACGTGATTTATGTTTCTCTGTATTATTTGTCTGTTCTAGAAGTTTCATATAAAAGGAGTCATACAATATGTAGTCTTTTTATTCTGGCTTGATAGCATAATATTTTTGAGGTTCATTCATGTTATAGAATGTATTAGTATGTTGTTCCTTTAACTATTTTTTTATTATTAAGTAGTTTATCATTACCATTTTTAAATTATACTTATTGGGGTGATATTAGTTAATAAAATTATATAAGTTTCAAATATACAATTCTATGATATATCATCTGTGTATTGCATTGTGTGTTTACCACCCAAAGTCAAATCTCCTTCCATCACCATATATTTGACCTCCTTTACTCTTTGCTATCTCCGCTACCCCTTTCCCTCTGATAAACACCATACTGTTGTTTGTGTCTATGAGTTTTTGTGGCTGTCGACCCTTTTCATTTTAGCTATTTTGGCCTTTATCTTGGCTTGAAGGTGTGGGCTCCGTGCGGAACACCAACCTCCACCGTTACTTTCAGTGTCATTTTAAAAGGGTAGGTTTTTTTGTTTGTTTTTGTTTTAATGAACTGGCCTTTCCTGTGTGTTCATACTGGTTGTAACTTGTTGAAGGAAATGTTTCCTTAATAGAAGAACCCTCTTTCAAGGTCCTCCTACTCCTTTTCTCAAGTAGTGAATGTAATTTAAAATTTTTTCCTATTACAGTTTTCCATGAAGACATTCCCTTTCATTTTAAAATGTATGGTTTCTTGCTTTTAGAAAAAAACGTATTCTTTTAGAATTTGCTGTTTCACATGTCAATTGCCAAGGTGTCCATGATAAGAAAATTCACTGTCAAGAACTCATAAGCACAAAGTTCTAAACCTGGTCTTAAGTGTGGTTTTTTTTTAGACAAATGTGTTTTCAATATGTTGTTACAAATAAGAAGTTTTTCCTTATCTCTGTAGTTCAGAATAGGTATATTTTGACTTAATTATGTTGATAAATAATGTATTTTGATTCATATGATGCTTCAAGCTAAATATTGAATAGCAAGCCCATAAAAATGCCATAAACATATGTTTGTTATTTCTCCACATGAGGTTTGCCGAGATTAATAATAATTAAAAAGTAATTTACCCTTGGGAAATCACAGGTAAAGTCATACAAAAATTAATTCTAAATGGCATCATAAATCTCAAGAGTGAGCTAAAACTGTAAAGCATTAAAAAGAAAAAAATTGGAGCATATCTCTTTGTTCTTAAATTAAGCACAGATTTTTTTTTAGATAGAATTCAAAACCTTGAACCAATAAAAATTATTGATATATTAGACCAAGTAAAAAAATTTAAATGTTTGCTCTTGGAAAACCACTATGATGAAAATGAAAAGGCAAGCCGCAGACTGGAGGAAAATCTTTGCAGAGTATACGCAGTTGATCCTGTTATTCCCATACTCCCTATTTGTGAATTACTGACTCACTAAAATTTATTTGTAACCCCAAATCAATACTTGCTGTGCTTTCGTGTGCAGACATGGACGGAGCTGCAAAAAATTTCAGTTGCCTGACACAGACTTTCCCAACTGCCTTTGAACGAGGCAGCACTCACTCTGTCTTCTTGTTCCAGCTTTCATAAACAAATGTCCTTTTTGTGATCTATTTAGTGTTGTGTGTTTTTGCACATTTTTCTTGGTGATTTTGCTGTTTAAAATGGCCCCGAGCATAGTGCTGAAGTGCTGTTTAGTGTTCCTAAGTGTAAGAAGGCTATGTTGTGCCTCATGGAGAAAATGTGAGCGTTCCTTAAGCTTCATTCAGGGATGAGTTAGAATGCTGTTGGCCGTGAGTGTGCAATGTTGATTGATCAACAGTAGGGTGCATGCAGAAAAAGGAAGAGGAAATTCGACCATCAGTACATGAGGCTGCTCTGGAAAATGCTAGAGTGTGTGACAAAAGCGAGATGGAAAAGATGGAAAAGTGGCTGAATTCGTGGATTTTAGGAGATGACAACTGTTAAAACTGTAGTATTGTTGTGCGGCTGAAACCAAAGAACTTTACAGTCACGTTACCCCGAGTCAGGAAACGTTGTACCCTTCTTGGCCAGTGCTGGCTGGCTTGCACATTTCAAAAGATAACATAGCATGGAAAATGCTAAATTTGCAATCAAGGCAGGTTCTGTAGATGAGGAGGTCGTAGAAGAATTCTAAAAATATCTGCTGAGTGTTAGAAAAAGGAGGATGAGCAGGTTTCAACACTTTTGAGACTAGTTTTCAATGCTGAGGCGACATTAGCAAATAAACCACATAATGTAATTGCATTTTATTTGACAAAAATGTTGTGACCGGAGGCTTGAAGGAACCTCACTCTGTTTTTCCCCTGGGAAATTTCAGTACAGTGGGGCCTTGACTTACGAGTTTAATTCGTTCCGTGACTGAGTTCGTAACTCAAATTACTCGTATGTCAAATCAATTTTCACCATTACAATGTATTGAATGCTGGGCTGATGTTGTGGCGTTCACTGTGACGTTCACTGCGACAACTAGCAGTGGGGTATCTGAAGCTGGCTCGTAACCCGAATTTTAGCTCGCAACTCAAAGCAAAAAATCGGCAGAGAGACGGCTCGTATCTCGAAAAACTTGTTAGTCGGGACACTCGTAAGTCAAGGCCCCACTGTATTCACTAATTCAGTATTCACAGTGCCTTCATAGAACATAAGTACCGCAAATAACCTGAATTGACTATTTGATAAAGAAGTCATGTGCAAACTATGGAAAGGACTCTTATAATGTAATAATGAGGAAAACAGCTAAATTTAAACATGGGCATTTAAACAGACACTTAACCAGAGAAAATAAAAATAAAAATTGACAAGCCTATGAAAAGATGCTGTGACATTCATTATTAGAGAAATGATACGGTACGCTACAACAATGGCCAAAATGTAAATGTCTAATAATACCAAGTGTTGAGGATGTGGAGAGACTGTAGGACCCTTACACATTATTGCTGGAAATGCAAAATGCAACAGCCACTTTGTAAAATAGTTTGGTAGTTTCTTATAAAGTTAAACATACATCTACCATATGACGTCATCATTCCACTCATAGGTATTTACCCAAGAGAAATGAAAACGTATGTGCCAGGGTTCTTGTTCCAGCATCTAGGAGGGTTCAGCAATCTGGAGAAGGGCTGTGTGTAACTTAATAAAGAGTCCACAGACAAAGCATAATTTTGAAAGGCATTTGGGGGTCAGAGGAGCCTAGCTAAAGAAACTAAGTTCTCCTGGTCTCAGGACCCCTTGCTATTTATTAACCCAAATTGTCCTAAGGCAAGGTGGAGATACACACTTCAAAGGGTAGGATTAGGTACAAAATCCATTGTCAGAATGGAAGAATTTGCCTATGGCTGTTCAGGTGTTTGGCCAGTAGGAGGCAATAATATGTAGATTAAGATGCCCTTAGCTGTCTGGCCGCAAGCAATCATCCTTTTCAGGTTTGGGGAAATGCCTTTAGCCATTCCCAACAGGCGATAACATATATGACTCAGCCCTTGTTGAGTCCCAAGTTCCATCAACCTTTCGATGAAACCCTTGCAATAATGACATGCTGGAATTGGCTTCCGGCACATATGTTCATACAAAGACTTGTACTTGAATGTTCATTGTAGCTTAATTCATAATAACCAAAACCTTGAAACAAACCAAATGTTCATTAGTTGGTGAAAGTATAAAAAAAATTGTGTCAGATCCCTACTTAGCCATACAAGGAAAGGGACTGCTGATTGATACACGTAGCCACATGGATGAATCACAAAAGTATTCAGCTAAGCAAAAAAAGGCAGACATAAAACACTACATAATGCATGGTCCATTTACATGAAATTCTAGGAAAGGCAAAACAATGGAGAGAGAATGCAGATCAGTGATTGCCGGGGGCCAGGAGTTGGAGAAGAGGAATTGACTTCCAAGGCTCATGAGCAGACTTTTTTGGAGTGATGGGAATGTTCTAGATCTTGTTTGTGGTGGGGGTTCCATACTATATATATTAACAACAACAAAAAACTTCATCAGACCCACACTTAAAATAGGTAAGTTTAATGGAAGGTAAAGTAATGCCCCTATAAAGCTATTTAAAACAACAATAAAACTTCTTACCAAAACCAGCATAATAAAACTTGTGCCTATCATTGTAACTATTAAAACAAGTTGTATTGTATGTGAATCTGTAGGCCTTTCATGCAACAAAAGAGGGTATTTCCATCTAAGCCAGTAATAATTAAAATGTTTCTTTGAATGGCTAATAGGCTAATGGCTTAAACACTTATCCATATTCTACCATGTTCTTCTCTTCCATGACCATGCTGTGACCTCTCAAAACGAAAGTTAGAGATCGGAAGCAACTAACTGACAATTACAGTGGTTGATACACTCCAGTTTAAATAGAAGTGTCCTTGGTTAAAATATGGTTCATTCATCGGTCAAACTGTCCTTATTTCCTTTAATTGAATTAAGATAGACAAATGAGAGATGTGTGCAAGACAGGAAAAAAATCCTTTCACATTTCACTGTTATCCTCCCTCTGAGTGTAAAACGAATCAATTAAAAGCATGTCAAAGCATCTTTTACTCTTGACCAACTTTGAAGCAGAAAACATTTTATAAAGACAAAAATTTTGAGTGAGAAATGGAGAGAAACTGGCTTTTTTTTTTTTTTTTTTTTAGTTAAACATAATTTTATCTTGGAGAATTGTGGCTTATATTATTTTATATGCTCTTATTTGCCTACAGATTATAAGTTTGTGATAAAAAGCGCCTTCTTTTTTTTCATTTCATCTTTAAGTTGGAAATACCTAATCATGAGAAAATAGAAGATACAAGAAAATGTACAATTCACAATTGTGTATACACAATTGGGTTTCATCTGTACATTGACTTGGAGAGTGGTGTGGGAGTAGGATGGAGGATGAAATATAATTTTACTTTTCTACTTAATTGCCAGCTATTTTGAAAAATGCAGTGTCCCTGTTCTATTTCATTAAATTATCATTTATTTCTATTATATCTTATGTGGATTCATTAACATTCCATGGACTAACCTGTGTATTAAGGTTTATTTTATTAAAATTAGCTATCTGTCCCTATATTTTACCTTTATTTTTACTAGTGTACACATGCCAATTAACTCACTTCCTGTTTGTAATTCATACCTTTTCTTTCTTAAAAATGTCGTTTTTTTCTTAAAGATTTTAAATTTTTATTTGTATTTTTAACAGGTTCACAATTGAAAACATACAAAAGGGTACAGAGTGAAAAGTCTTCTATACTTGCCCCAGCCACCCAATTCCTCTCTTTGAAGGCCAGCAATATTACCAGTTTCTCTTTCCTTCCAGAAATATTTTATACAATATATACTGGCGCGAGGGTGACTGAAGCAAACCTTCTTTATCAATTGGAGGTTATATAATTTCTAAGAATATTGGATTAATATCACTTTCTATGTTAATTTTTTGAATAATGGTGATTGTTTTTTTATAGAATCAGTTTGCCAACACCCACCAAATCCAAGATTTTAAGCTCGATCAGAGACATCACTATAGACCCTTCACGAAGAGATTTTAAGAACTTAAAATATTCTGACTCTCAGGATTTCAGTGTTTTCTATCTCTGGACTTCATGTCTATGATGTGTTTCACAGAATTCTCATGTCTGTGAAACTTCTCTCTTGCCCTTTGTCTTTTAGTATAGATCATGTCAGAGAATGAGAGTGTGGATATGAATTATTGAGTAGCGTTGATCACCAAATACATCTACCCATCTGGTTTTCCCTTACTTTAACAAATTTCCTTCTAAAATGCCCAAGAGCTGAGAATAATAATTTTACTTTCCTTCTTCCATAATAAATAAATAAATATGTAAAGACACAGGACAGGAAGCTAAAGTATTCGCAAACATGTTTAGGGTTATTTATTGATGGCTTTGCTCATTGGCAGTATAAAGTGTGTGTCACTTGTCATTAGCAGTAACAATTTCAGCACGTTATGTTCTCTTTTTATTTACTCTGGTGGCAACATGTTTCTGAACAGGGCCACTGGCTGTGGGTCAAGAGGTCAGTCTTTGAGGTTAAGAGTGGATGGGGTCATTTGCTATTAACCTAAGATTAGCAGCTAAGTTTTGTTTCCTTTTTTTCTTTTTAGCAGATTTCCTCCTATTTGTGTAACACACCAAATTAATCTTGCTCAATTTTAGAAGAATTTCTTCTTTCTGATCTGAATTTTATTTATTTAAAAATTTACAAAGGTGTTTTTTTTTCTATCCAGATCTCTTTCTAGCCCCTTTTCTGAGTTTATGAAGCAATGTAAACTATTTTTAAGATTAAAAAAAATGTCTTATCTTTAACATCCATTTCCCAATGTACCAATTCTTCTTTCTATACTTTTGAGATTTTTTTCCTCCACATGTTTACATCTCAAACTAACAAATGCATCGAAGAATTTTAGGATTTCTGTGACCCATTCTCCCCTGGTATGATTTTATTGCTATTCTGGATATTAAACCATGTTCAGCCCCTAAGTAACAAGTTTCATTGTTATTGTTGTTTAACTTTAGGAATCTCTTTATTTGGTGTCCTGATATCTGAGATCTTTTTTTCTATATCTTCTTCAGCAAAAAGAGTCACATGTTATGGTATATCGTTTCATTAGTCATTGTCTAACAATTGCTGTCCGTGGAATTTCCTCCTGAGAATTTCCACACAATTCCGAGTTTATATTGTGGAATAAGCCACAGCCTGCTTAGGAGCTAAGGCGATGCTAGGTCTTTTATACCAAAGTTGTTTCTCTAACATCTTGGCCCATTTCATTGCTAGAAAGAGATTTTACTTGCCTTTAAAATGTTTTATTGCTATTGGTGATTTGCTTTCTTTCTTTCTATAACCTTAGCAAGTAGGTCTTAACCTGTAAAAAAGCATATAATGACTACATGATGGATGCAAGGTACAGCAAACAGGGAAAGGTTCCTTCATGCAGGCTTCTCACAGTGCAGTGTGGACCTTGATGGGTAAAAAAGGAGAGGAAAGTAAGTATATACAGAAAAATGTCAAATATTTTAAACCTATGATAATTGAGAGATTAAAATCAACTGTACTTCTAATAATATTATACTGTGAAGAATAGCAAGCTTCCGAGGGTATACTCTTTGCTACTAAGTTCCCTTACATGCTTGGACTTGAGGTAGGTAGAGCCTATTTAAAGAGAGTGTTGATTTGGTAGCAATCCAGGTAGACAGTAAAGCATAAGTGAAGGTAGAGAGGCAAGAAAAGTCATGGTATGCCCTGGCGGTTTGGCTCAGTGGCTAGAACATTGGCCCATGGACTAAAGGGTCACGGGTTCCATTTAGGTCAAGAGCACATACCTTGGTTGCAGGCTGGACCCCTATCCCTGGTCAGGGTGCCTGTGGGAGGCAACTAATTGATGTGTGTCTCTTACATCGATGTCTCTCCTCTCCTCTCCTTTCCCCTCCTCTCCCCTCCCCTCCCCTCCCCTCCAGCCCTTCCACTCTCTCTAAAAATATCCTTGGGTGAGGATTAAAAAAGAAAAGAAAAGCCATGGTATAGTCACAGGGAGCTTAAGGAGGTTGGCATTGCCATAATAGAAATTCCTAGGCAGGGAACTGTAAGAGATGAACCCTGACAGTCTCATGTTAGTGAATATTTTCTTTATTCCTTTGTTTTGTTTGTCTTGCTATTGTTTTTTGTTTGTTTGTTTTTGCTTTCATGAGCAATGAATTTCTGGTACATTTTGATACATTTATGTTATTATTTTCTCAGGATAAGTTTCTAGAGGTAGAATTGCTGATCCATTAAGTATTTGTTCTTTTATGGCATTTGGTTGTATATTAGACAAAATCACTATCCAAACGATTGTCAGGTTTGCACTGCCATATGCTAGTAAGTGTGAGAGAATTATTTTTCATTACTCTTAACTCTATCTTTATTCTGTTTGCCAACCCAATATGCAAAAGTGATGGTTTTTGCTTTAAATTTGCATTTCTTTGATGTTGAATATTTTTATTTTTTTGATCATTTAAGATAATATATTTTAATTTAGTGCTTTCCACTCATTACTTGGATAATTAAGAATATGAGAAATTAATTACAATTATAAATTATAAGAAATCACTTGAGCCCTGGCGAGGTTGCTCAGTTGGTTAGAGAGTCGTCCCATACACCAAAGGTTGTGGGTTTGATTCCTGCTCAGGGCACATATGTAGGTTGTGGGTTCGATCCCTGGTTGGGGGGTATATAAGAGGCAACCTATCTATGTTTCTTTCACATTGATGTTTCTATCTCCTTTTTCTGTCCCCTTTCTTTCCTCTTTCTCAAAGTCAATAAACATATCCTTGGGTGAGGATTTTAAAAAAGGAAGAAAGAAGTCATTTGAGCATAATAACTTTTCAGCATGACTTGCATATATAGGGTATCCATGAAATAAATAAGACCCTTTGACTTAGAGGAAAATCAAGAGATGAATGACTTAGAGACCACAAAAATGTTGGTTAGGGGAACTCTTTCAGTAAAGATGTTATAAGTCTATACCTTGATGATAAACCATTGGAAAAACAAAAGGAGAAGGACAGAAAAGAAAATTTAGAAGGTGTGGCAAAGCTCAAAAATAAGACAGACCTCTTCATGGGCCAAAATTGGGACAGAAATGCAGGGGCCCAGAGGTGGACACTGATTGTTAGTGTCTGAAAGATGGCTCAGTGGCCAGGAGTTAGGCTTTTGCAGAATGCTCTATTTGGGGCCAAGGAGTGTCTTCAAAAGAACACTAATCAAAGCTGCTGCTGACTTCTACGAAGAGCTAAGGCCTGTGTGAAACTGCATGCCCAGGGAGTTTGGAGGACAGAGACAGTTAGCAATGGAGCTAAGCTATCCAATGACTCGTTTTCTGATTTGGATTTCCCCCCATATTACCAAGAATTAGATCCCCTGATTGTGCACTAGAATACCAGATTCTGCGGAGGCAACCATTAAACTGGAAGACAGGGAGTGGTGCAATCATAGAGAAAGTGCAAAGAATTCACTCTAACTCCCACTTAAGATGTGCCTACAAATAAAATGTCAGACTTCGTAAAATAAAGTAATATATTAATACCAAAGAAAACAGACAATATAGTTAGCAAATAGGACATGAATTCATGCAGATGAAAGGAAAATAATAGAACAATCTGAAAAACATACGCAACACCTTTATATTTCAGATCCTCAAAAGGATAAAGGTATAGCTTTATAAAACAAGAAATTATAAAACAAAGCCAGCAGAAATGCAACAAAACAAGAACAAGTGGCTATGAAAAAGAATCACTTCAGAATATTAGCAATAAAATAATGACATTGAAATTTTAAAACTCAGTAACAATTTTAAACTGTATTAGTAGGTCTCAGCAGCCCAGAGAGATAAAAATGTGAAATAATTAAGAAACATATTACCTACATAGATCGGTAGTAGACTTCTATTTGGTGACATTAATTAATACCAGAAGACAATAGAGTAATACCCCAAAGTACTGAGCAATAGTAATTCTTAAATTACAATTCTATACCCAGCTAAAATTATCATTCAGTACTTTCACACAACAGTAACAGTTTACCACTGCCTTGTTCTTGCTGAAAACAAAAGCCTTTAAATATGTACTTCACCATGAAAATGCCAATGCAGAGGGAAATAGTGATGTGCATGATACAGAATGGTGTTGGTAATTAACTTTTAATGTTATAATAATAATATAGTAGTACCTTTCATGTAATAAATTATTTATATGGAACTAAAAGCCCAGACAATAATGACAAGGAAGAAGGGATGTTCAGTTGCAATTAAAGCATATTTAGAATAATTATTGTGATATTGAGTAATTTAAGGAAATATTTTGTTATATACAGTATGATAAAAATTAAGAATAAATCATTATTAGAAATAGATCCCCAACATATAGTTTTAAAAAAGTGATTATAGAACACTATCAGTGCAAGAGAAGGCAGGGAAGAACAGATCATGCAAAATAAGATGGTAGAAATAAACCTCAATATATCAATAATCAAAGTAAATATAAACGACAAGGGATATAATATTGAATTTTTAAAATCTAATTATGTTATGCTTAAGATATATATATGTCTAGAGATTGTGCCATTAGCTTGTACCAATGGTATGAAATTTTTAGTCAGGATATGCTATAAGCAACAAATGGCTTCATTTTCTTTTCTTCCTTATTACAAATACATTTGAATGAGAGAAAGACTGTAATGTCACAGATTTTGTCATTAGTTAATCAGAGTTGATAGAAGCTTCATAGATCATATCTCTTAATTCCCCCTGCACTTGAAATTTTCATTGTGCTAAAGCTGATTGAAATTCTGAGCTGCCTTTAAAGCAATTCCAGATCTCAAGCTTCTGAGGGTTTTAAAAAGATACACTAAGTACATGACACTTAAATTCATAGGCTAAATTTCCTTTTGGATTGTTTTGCGAAGACTGAAAATACCTATGTCAGGAAATTTTTCTTTTCATTTTCCAGCTTCTCTATTTGTCAGCTATTCTATTCTGACTTCTAAGCTGAAGTTCACATTTTAGTTATAGTTATGTATGGCAGACTCCATCTGCCATAGCCAGCCAGCCTGTGGGCTTAAAGAGAGAAGGAGAGAACCTAATACAGGACTTCTTTTTGAAAGTTATCTTGCTATTTTTCCTTTACAATTAGACTCTAAGTAATAATCTGTTGGCAATGACCCAATGACCCTGCGAATTATCAAATATTACAAATCTTCGGTTTAGTTAGGTGTATCATTTTAAACATTAATGATCAATTTCTTTTTAATTAAATTTATTCATCCACATTTGTGCTTATGGCAAAGTTTTAAAAAATTCCATTTTCTTATTCCCATTTAGCTGAATATGTTAGTTGTTCAGGTTAAATTGTCCTTAAGGTATTATTTTTCCCACTTCTATGGGTCCCCCAGCTGTTCTCACCCTAATATTATTTCCAAACTTTCTAGTTCACTGTGACTAGGGTTATCCACTGATTAAAACGTAGATTTATTTTGGTGGGTAATGAGCATAATAACTGATCTGATTGGATCTCTAGGGATGATTATTCATAAGCTGTAGCAATGGTCAAAGCCCAAAACTGATTTTTTTTATCTGCTAAGGTCCAAGAATGAATTTTTTTTTTTATTCATGGACATTTACATCAGAAGCATATGTACATAGATTAAAAACCAGAAAATATAGTTTCTTTTTACCTCTCATATGACTATAGAAACAGTTGCCTCTGCAGATCTATCTAGAGGACTTTTCAGGTTCTTAGATGTACAAGGGACATCTCATTTGTTGCTGCTGATCAATTCTTGATCTAGCCGAATCACTGCAGTCTGAGAGAAGCTATTCCATAACACAGCAAATCTTAGAATTTATTTTTTCAACTGATACTTCCAGCTCTGGATTCTGTGACATTTGCCCAAAGGGAAACACCGGCCCCTTGGATTACACTGTGCTTCCATTGTCTGAACTGTCCCAGCAATAGCGCGTAAAGCTGTTTGCATAGCGTGCTAACTCTGTCAGGGTCAGTTCCAGTCTGCGGCCGCTAAAAATGAAAACCATGCCCCAACCGGGACAAGAGCAGGGTCAACAGCTGGCAAAGGATATGGCAATCATTTATATAAATATGCTTTCTCGAGCCCACAAAAACAAAACCCCAACCTAGCAGCTGGGAAGGGTTGGAAGTAGCCCCAAGGCTGGTTAGTCCCCTTCCAGATGGGGAGGTTACACTGGGGCTAGCCAGACTGCTCCACATAGACTTCCGATTCGCATTAGAAATGAAAGGAGGAGAGGAAAGGGAAAAGGAAGAAAGGCTACGAGCATGACTGCTCTGTTTTTCACCTAACTTAATCAAATCAGCGAAGACTTTCCGAGACGGAAGGCTTCCATTTATCGGTATTCACGCTCCGTTTTTTTCTGTTTATCATAGTGTCTGATACACTTCTTAACTGCTTAAACAGAAAGCATATATGCTCTAAACTACAGTTTATATATAATGTCATGGTTATTTGTAGACAGATTGAAGAACCGGTCTCAGATTTATGTCCTGTTTACATCTTCCAAACACTTATGTGGAACATTCAATGCTAGAGAAGATAATAATTGTGGTGTTGGCGCGCACCCAGAACTTTATCCAAGGGATAGGGTTCATATTTGTAACTTGATTTACTTTATAATACATCGTTATTGCACATCTAATATATCCAGCAG